CGCCTTCAGCCCGGTTCCTGATCTCCGTGGAGTAGGGAGTGCTGCTGGGCGCCTTCAGCCCGGTTCCTGAGCTCTGTGAAGCGGGGAGTGCTGGTGGGTGGCCCGTCCTTCTGTTGAGCAGGTAAATGCACATGGGAGGAGCAGGCAGACACAGTGCTGTGCTGTGGAGTGTTAGCTGTGGAGTGTCTCCTGCATGGGGCGGGCGAGTCTTCCGCCTGCTGGACCTTTCCTGGTGTGTGTTACTGTGATTTCAGACACGCAGGACTAAAAGAGGTAACATTACTGTCTACTGTGCAGGTGGGAACTTGTAGTAACACTTCGTTGGCCAGTGGGAATGTCCTGTTTCCAGGGTGCCCCAGTGTGTTCATCTGTGGGTACAAGCTAACACACTGGCTCCTGGTGTTTTCTGTCCACAGCTGTGGGCTGTCCTAGGACGCACAGCAGAGCGTGTGCATTAACCTTGCTGGCAGAGAAGGGACGCTGCCTGGACTCTATTGGGGTGGACACTGACCTGCTAACCTGACCTGTCTATTCCTGTTAAAAGCATCGTTGTTGTTAGGTGCTGTCGAGTTGGTTCCGACTCTTAGCGACCCTGTGTCCAACAGAACAAAACACTGCCTGGTCCTGCGCTGTCCTCACAGTTGTTGCTATGCTTGAGCTCCTTGTTGCAGACACTGTGTCAGTCCTCTGTTTGAGGGTCTTCCTTTTTCACTGACCCTGTACTTTACCAAGTGTGATGTCCATCCCCAGGGACTGGTCCCTCCTGATGACATGTTCAGACTATGTGGGTAGAAAATTATAGGTAATGCCTCATAGTTTAAAGAGGCCTGTTCGGCTGATAGAAAGGATGTAGTTAAACGCCTAGTATGTGGTTGGTGCTCAGTAATTGTTGAAAAGATAGAAGTTCTGGAAATCTCGGCATTTTAGTAGAGAGTTTAGAAGAATGACTGTGTCCCAGTGTGGGGTCACGTGTTACATTTTTGGATCTGTGAAATACAGGCTTGGGGTTGTGTGAATTGGAAACTGCTTGTAGGGAGGCAAAGCTTTCTTGTGTTTGATTTTCTTGTTTTAATTAAACACGATAAACTTAGGGTCCGGTGGTGGGCTTGCTGACTTTGCAGGGATGCCATTTCCTCCATGAGAGTCCACAGTGCTCTTGGTGGTCTCGACTAGGGTGTTTGGAATGGCCCTTCCAAAAGGTGGTTTTTTGTGGCGGGGGCAGGGAACACTGCTTCGTGCCAGAGAGAACTGTGGCCTGTGGTTGTGTGCACTGGTTGCTAGTCTTGTGCTAACCGCCTTTGATTTTGTCTTCATTACCCACACTTAGAATGGAAGCAGCTGAGTTTGAGTCGTTCTCATTCGCTAGGATCAGGTGGTTGGGCTTCCCCACAGCTTTGATTAAACCTTTAAACTAGGACAGGTTGATCTATCCTTCCTCTGGGCTGTGATGCGGGTCCTTGGCCCTGAACCTCAGCTGCCTGAGTGGTGGCTGCAGGGTTGGCCGCTGGCCCTTGTGGGTGGCAGCACCAGGTGGCTCCTCAGGGTGAGTGGGACCTCAGCTCCACCCCGCTCTCCTGGTGACGCCAAGCTAGATCTGGACCTGCCTCACCCTCCCTGTGGGGTCCTCCAGAGAACAGACCCCATGTCGAGGAAGCCAGCTGTCCTTGCTCTGGGCCCCCATGTTCTTTGCAGCTTGGTGTGACTGTGGATGTCGGATTACGGAGTTGTGAGCAGGCCTGGTTGGGCAAACGTGAATGCTGAGGCCAGGGGCTCCTGGATTCCCCAAGGACATGGGGTGTCTTCTTGCCTCGGGGTCCCTTCCTCGACTCAGCCTGTTGCCCAGACCTTGCCGTGTCCTCTCAAGTGACATTCGGTGGCCCTTGTGGGCTGGGGGTCAAGGCTGTGGCGATGGTCTTTACTGAGGACTAGGAATTGGAAATCATCACTCAGCTTTTAGGGATACAGTTCTTTTTTATTTGAAAATGTATTTTATTTACTATATTTTTTTTGCAAATAATGTGTGTGTTACACGTTTTTCCAATCGCACAACCCCCTTCTGCATTATTTTCCTAGGTGTGCTATGTGCGTTATATGTGTGGGTACGTTATTTGTGAAAAAATATGGTATTTGATCTTTTTTTTTCCTTTTAATGTGAAGTTACCGAATGACTCCTTGGGTAAGTTTAAGTGAACATCTGTTGACAGCTTGTTGACATTTGTATCAACAGCATTCACTGATGCTCGTCTGTGGTACGAAACCACGCTGGGTGATTTCATTCACCACCGAGCTTCGTTTCCTCGTGTACTTTAAGAGGAAAGAAACGGGATTTCAGGTGTCCAGAAATGCATTTTCTATCTTTCTGATGTAATGACAGCATGAAAAGCCTGTTTAAGTGTGATTATAACTCCGGTGTGTTTTCTCTTTGTCTGTTAGACTCCATGAGGAAATAATCGACTTCTATAACTTCATGTCCCCCTGTCCTGAGGAAGCCGCTATGCGGGGAGAGGTGGTGAAACGCATCGAAACCGTCATCAAAGACCTCTGGCCGACGGCCGATGTGGGTATCTCCTTGTGGGTATCTCCTTCTGTGTCTCTGTCGCTCACACATCCGTGATGGTCATCGAGCTGGGACCCTGTGGCTCTCAGGGTGTCCCGGGCCAGCAGCATCAGCCTCCCCTGGGACGTGCTAGAAGGGCACCTTCCGGGCCCAGCTGCAGGCGATTCTGATGCCCTGCACCTGAGAAGGCTGCCTGAGGGAGGGTTTTTCAGATGGTGTGTGTAGAAATGGCATGGGGGCCGTGTCCTCTAACTTCACAAGGGGGAAGGAGAACCAGGATCAACAGCCCAAGGCTGATTCCTGTGAGGCGGAGGTCAGTCACGCCTCCTCTCTCTGCCATCTTTACCAATTCTGATACCAACTGTCCCTCCCATGGCACTCTGTACCTCTGCTGGGTTAGATGTTTCATTGCAATGACCACACAGATCTCAGACCACACTCTGAGGTTTGTTAGGGGGTTTATTAGGGAAGTAACAGTTACAATTCAGGCTCAGCAACACTCAGGATACAGTTCTTCCATCAGGACAGCCTCTTTGCAGCTGTGTTCACAGGCCCGCCTCTCCCTGGCCTCTGCCCAAAGGCACTCAGCTTGCTTGCTCCATGGGCCGGGAAGCCCACCACACTGTCGCCTGCTGCAGGGTCCCTGCCACTGCTTCTCTCTGCCCTTAGTGTTCCGGCTCTCTCTCAGTCTTCTGGTTCTAGGAGCTTCTCAGTGCAGGGATCCTGGGGCCACAGGACCCACTGGCTCTCCTTCCCTGGTGGTGGTGGGATCCTCTCCCTCCCACCTCTGGGTAGTTCATTTCAAACTCAGCAGGATGGCGAAGCTGATCACTGCCTTTGGTGGGCCACAATTACCCTGGGACGTAGACCCGCTCAATCCTTTGGGTGAGAGTTACAAGACCATGACGAGAAAGGCCACATGAAAGCTATCCGTTGCACTGCGGTGTAATTGTGTTTTTGCTCTAAGTCAACCTCCAGGCTGGAAACTTTACCCCGCCCCTTCAGTAGCCAAGTGCCATGTGATGCCCCGACCCTACAGTAGTCCAGTGACGTGACACCCTGCCCCTTCAATAGTCCAGTGATGTGTGATACCCCACCCCTACAGTTGTCCGGTGACGGTGACGCGTGGTACCCCGCCCCACAGTTGTCCAGTGACGTGACACCCCGCCCCTTCAATAGTCCAGTGATGTGTGATACCCCACCCCTACAGTAGTGCAGTGACAGTGATATGTGGTACCCCG